TTAAGAGAACCAGCAAGTACATAATAAGGTAAACTTGTAAGTAGAGAAACTACCTGCACAACTGAAACCAATGAAATAGAAGATCCAGAAAGGGATGGGGGACTTGACAGCTTGGACTTTGGATTAGCAGAATATGCTGATGGAGAAGCTGAAAGAACCTTCAAAACCTGCAAAATGAGTCGAACATCAAAAAAGGGAACCTCACCCCACAAGTGAACCAGACAACATCATAGAAAGTTAACAAATGATGCATGTTGACCTTACCAAGCTATTTGCCGGGTTCAAAGAGTGACCAATCCCTTTGAAAAGTACAGGAGCCTGTATCATGCAAAAGAGAACTTGCTGAGAAAAGACAACATAACGTTATCTGCAATGCACCAAGCTTATACGTTCCTTTTGGTCAACATGATTAAAGATATGGTTGGAATGGAATGATTCGTTCTTTATGTATAATCATTTCACTCCCTTTATTACTGACTTGGTTTAGTTTATACAAATTCGGAACACAATTGAGACCAAGCAGGTTTTACCTGTCTTTCATTTCAAGTGTTACATTGTAAAATTCAGTTCTTTATGTGATAGAATGAATGAAAATAACCCAAACATAAGGAATGTAAAAGAAGGTACTTGTCCAAACAGGATTCCCAAGTGAATTTTCTATCTCATTACTGAGGTCCCACCAATGATTTTACCCCTCCATTATCACCCTCATTATTGTGTACCAAAAAGCAGCACTAACGCCCTAGGCATTGGTAGCTGAAGGATAAAGGAATTTCCACACCACTGAAAAGCTTTCCGGTAGTAATATCAATATCATCAACAATGACAAATGCAACAAAAACAGTAATAGGAAACACATGAAGTGGTAGGTGTAAATAACAAGTATCGAAATCATCGTCTTCAATGTATCTGCCCTTAGCAGAGGGAATAGGGCAATATCTGGTAGATACATGACCACAAAAATAGTAATCACAGAACAAACCATTTGACTACATGAACTGACCTCTATTTTTGTAGTCCCCAAGAGTACATCAGACTGAATAAAATCATCAGCAGCAATTAATGTGTGATCTCCCTCAGTTCCGGAGACAGCATAGCTACCATGATCAATAACCACAGCAGATGAATCCTGTGCAATGGCAATAAAAAAAATTCAACCTAAGCTTCTTCCTTTGTTTAGGATAATCAATGAATGTAACATAGCCAAATTGATAAGGGTGCTATTCACGTTAGCCATCCCAAAAAAGACACTAATGAGTAAGTCAGCTCAAACCTCAAAAGAATCAAATGCCTTCTCATTTATCAAGTTCTTTTTGGGTTACCGTGGTTTCCGGGCCAGCTTAGCGCACCGGCTAATGCCCCAGGCCCACAAATGTCCTGGAGTCATCGCAGGTGAACCTCCATGGCCACAAGAGATTTGGCAGCGCCTGGGTTCGAACCCGGGGTAGATGAGATTTTCCACTATCTATCTGAGGCTTAACCAGTAAGCCAATCATGGTGAAATATATACAAGGAAAGGCAAGAACTTCGGTTGTATAATAAATTGAGGTGAACATATAGAGGATACAGTAGATAGTTCATTTGGTTCTAAGTTATCTACTGAGACAGGCAAATCTATGAGAAATTGGTCCTCTTCCCAATTTTCTCTATTTAATGGCATCTCTGTTATGCCAAAACAGAGATGAAGTGATCTATACTTGGACTACCACTAATCAAAGCTTTCGGTCATAGTGGTAACAGTCACTGAAATCGATGAATGTGAAGGAAGGTGTGTGATCATCGACTGTAGTGGAAATGGGATAACGTCATATCGCTAATACATGTAAAGGCTGTCATGTCTGGAACTTCTGTTTGAGTGTCTGATTTTGAGCACCAATCCTTGCATTTCCATATCAACACACTCAGAAAGAGCTGTATGACCAACCATTTTTGAAATTCAAATTATATAACAAATTTATTTTCATGTTCAAAAAAACTCCCGTCAATAGTAGCATCTTTTTAGACAGTTCAACAAGTAGCATACTACTGAGTACCGACTCAGAATGAACTAAATCAGATCAATAGTCTGTCCCAAAACGATCAGTTTCGCCACTTAACGAGTATAAAATGAAAGTACCTCATCAAAATCAACTCCACACTCAGCGGCAATATTTCGGATCAAATCAGACGCACTCGCATCGGCAGCAACAATCAAGTCTTTGCCAGAGTCCACGAAGTCCAAAATAGCAGCCACATCCAAAGATCCTCCAAATCCTGGAAAATTCAAATCCGTCATTCTTATCAAATTCACCAACAAATGCATGAATTTTTTGCAATAAACTTCCAAGATTACTTTCGATGGTGGGAGAAAACAAAATCAGGCCATCATATAGATACTGTCCGTATCTCTGAAGTGCGATCTTGGGATCATCGGAGAGCTTGAAATCGAGCTCAAATCCACGTGTCTGTAGAGAACTGAAGAAGATCGAGTGCGAAGACTTGAGAGCCAAGTCGTCGACCAACACTAAAATGCGCCGATCCGTAGGGTTCTCGAGAGAAAATGAGTTGGAGAGTGCAAATAACAGTGAGATCGAAGCTATGAAGACGGTGGCGATGGAGAAATTCGCCATATCTTCTTCCTTTCGTTTTAGGGTTCTCGAGGTTTGGATCGTAACCGAGTACTGTCAAGACTTTAAACCTTGACTTGATAAACATATGCAAATTTTAATAAATGGTCCCTCTACTTCCACTTATTTACCTTTTTCGCTCTCACTTTTTCTATTTTGAAAAATAATGGTATGATGCACTAAATTATTATACTCGTAAACTACGATTTTCGTTCATTGACTATATCGTCTATTGTTTTTCTCGATCAATGTCATTTAGAGTTAGGGGGGTGTTTGGGATTGCTTATAAAAGTTGTTTCTTAACTTATTTCAGTTTGGCACCGATGATAATTTGTTTTCTATTATTTGGATAAGAAAAAAACTGCTTATATCGGTGACAAACCGGTAATAAGCTGTTTTTGATAAGTTAATCTTTTCTGACTTATGAAAAACTGCTTATTACCATTTTACAATTTTAACCTTGTTTTATTTAACTCCAGTTTGATACCACATAAGTTAATAAGCATTTTTACAAAAATACATAAGTTGTTTTAAATAAGCAATCCCAAACACCCCCTTAATTTGCATCAATCTAATCGACTTTCTAAAATTTTAACCTAGATTATACAAACCCTAAATCAAGAACTCGAGATAAATTAAAAGAGCAAAAACGACACGATGAATAAGAAAAATGCATACAAACCCAAGGACTTGATACAAAAACTAGAATTGTCACCGGCGAAAGTGAACGTGCGGCATTGTTCGTCGAAATCGAAGAACCTCGGTCTCGGAATATTTTATCGTAGTCAACCAATTAAGAATAATGCTCAACACTGCCAGTGGTAGGAGAAGCCATCGTGCATGAGCTTGTCAATATCGTCATTCATTGACTGAACCATAAAAGCTGTGACACACCTTCAACTTGAAGACACAAACATTAGAATGATGAACGGGATTTGTTGGCCCAAATTGAACGAAAAACGATGCATATGGTGAATAAAGATTGCATTCAGTTTGTTGAGGTGGTTTGTCATTTACTAGAAAGAAAACGATATGTATCGAAGAATCAAAGATCTCTAAATCAAAGTAGATAATGAGAGTGATGGTAGGTGGGGATATTTTCAAAATTTTAAACACCGGAAAACTATATTTAATAAAGTAATTTATGACGTTGCTATCAACTACAAATTAGCTATCTAAAATATGTCTCATGGTGTCCGTCATGACACGAGAATTGTCTCCAATACCACGTTAACGCTCATGGAAGGCTATAAATCAAGAGTAACTTAGTTTTTAGGTTTTTTTTTTTTTTTTTTATAATTTAAAAAATTAAGAATAATTAAACAAAAGAAAAAAAAACAGTTTTTAAAGACCAGGGATGAAAATCATTATAAACATCAAAACACACGGACGAAAATCATAGCTTATTATAAATAAATTAAAAAAGAAACTCATAAAAGTTAATTTCATTTAGGACCTATTTATAGTTTAGTGTTTACATACTATCGACTCAATTCTTAGCAGTCAACATTAGAGATGGCTAAATATCGATCACGAGCCAGGCCAGTCAGGTCCCAAATTGGTCCCGAGTCAGGCCAGATTGGTATCAAATTGCCCCCTTTAAAATCGGGTTGGCCGGTCCCGACCAAAAATCCTAGGATTAATTTAGGCCTAGTTATAGGTCCTACGGGACTGGTCCGGTCCCAGGCACGACTTGGTTTTTAAAGAAAATCTTTTTTACATAAAAATATTATTTTAAAAATGTAATTTTTAAAATTTAATATTGAAATATACTTTAAATAATATATTTAAATAGATAAAAAAATCTGCGAAAACAAAAAAAAAAACTTGAAAATTTTGAATGGAAAATTTAAAACTGTTAAAATTTAATTGGTCCCAAGATGGGACTTAAAAATTTCATAAAAAATACAACCAGTCTCGAACCGTTGGACCATTGCGGGTTCCAATTGATCCCAAGCCAAACGTTGCCTAATTTGGCTATTTCTGGTTGAGTGGCTTACTTCAAGCATTGATATAACTGAGTGTGTTAACTCGGTTAACATCAACGCCCACCTAACCAGTATCAAAATCTCAGTTACCTAATCGATCTTTAACCATATCCTAATGAATATCTTACATATACCATACTTTTACCTGGTAAACGCTTACAAAAAAAATCAGTAAAATCTATCAAATATTTATATAAAAAAATAATACATAAAAATAATATTATTTTATTTAAAAAAAGTATGTGATTCAATCATTCATACAGTTTTTCGGCGTTTAAAATCTGGAAAGCTTTCCCACCAACCGTCACTCCCACCACCACCATCTCCTCCGATTTACAGATCTTGGATTCTTCAAAACTTGCCAATTTCATCCAACTAGATGACAAACCCTACCTCAACAAACTAAATGCAATCTTTTTTCATCATCTTCATCGTTTTTCTTTCAATTTGGGCCAACAAACTCGTTCATCACTCTAATGCCTGCGTTTTCACGTTGAAGATGCACCACCGCTTCTCCGACCCCGTCAAAAAGTGGTCGGAAGGTATTAACAAGTTCACCCCCGGTGATTTTCCGGCCAAAGGCAGTGTTGAATACTATTCTCAATTGGCCAACCATGACAAGATATTCCGAGGTCGGAGGCTCTCGGATTCCGGCGAACAACGCCTTACTTTCTCCGATGGAAATTCTAGTTTTCGTATCAGCTCTTTGGGTTTGTATGTATTTTTTTCTTATTTATTTCTCCCTTCTTGTTTTCTTTGTTATTTATCTCCACTTCTTGATTTAGGGTTTGTGAGATCAGATGCATACTGTACAATTCATAATAAATAAATCCATGCGATCATTAACTTCAATTTAGGGTTTCCTCTAGGGGGTTTGGGGGTGATCAAACAACAGAATGTGTTGGCTAGTATTACATGATTTACTGAATCAAACTAGACATGAATACTAACAAATTAACTCAAATGGAGTACCCATTTTCCAATTCAATGCTCAGAAATGACAATTAAATAAGATGTTTTTGATTGCAGCTTCTAATTATCTGCTGTTTTTGTTAATATAGTTTGCATTACACAACGGTTTCATTGGGGACGCCAGGGCAGAAGTTTATGGTGGCACTTGATACCGGGAGTGATCTATTCTGGGTGCCATGTGATTGCAGTAGATGTGCCTCCATTGATAACACAGCTTATAGCTCTGTATGCTACTTTTGTTTCTACTCTACTTCCTCACAATTTGGGATGTTGTTTCTTTTTTGGTCCATCACATAAGAACGGATCATCCTATGGCACACAATCGAAAAAGAGAAGTTGCAACTGATATGGGTGTGCCATAATGAAAACTGTTGCAATTTATTACGATGAACTATGAAGCGAGTAAAATCCTATTTTAGCATTACTCAGAACTCTTAGCTACACTTAATGGTACATTCTGCAAATGCATCTCCAAATTTGGCACCATTCGGGGGGTTGTAATTTAGGTGCCAAAATGCCTTAACAAAGTAGGTCTAACCGTCTTTTCTGAACGATTAAATAAGATGTATGCAGACCTTTACCTTTTCCCCAAGGGGTAGAGAGACCGTTTAAAATGGAATCTTTTAACTAAATAGGTCAAATGGTTCTCAAGAACAGAGAAACCATGGTTAGGATATTGAACTATGCTAAGTGTATCATCAGTGCTTCATTAACATCTCATATTGTTGTATTGGTAATTTTGTTAGGAATTTAAGTTGAGCATATACAGCCCAACGGGATCATCAACAAGCAAAAAGATTACGTGCAACCACAGTATGTGCACCCATCGTCATGAATGTCCAGGAAGCGAAGCATTTAATACTTGTCCCTATTCTGTTTCTTATGTCTCGTCTCAAACTTCAACTTCCGGGATTTTAATGGAGGATCTTCTGCACTTAGAAACAGAGGATAGCAATGGTCAAATCATTGATGCCTTTGTCACTTTTGGGTAAAATTCCTAATATTCCCTTTCCTTGAGTAGACTTAAACGGCTCTAGTCATATTCGCTATAATTGTCTTCCTATTTGAAATTTGCAGATGTGGGCAGGTGCAAAGTGGTTCGTTTCTAGATATTGCTGCTCCGAATGGTCTTTTTGGGCTCGGTTTTGAAAAAATATCAGTTCCTAGCATTTTATCTAGAGAAGGATACACAGCAGATTCTTTCTCTATGTGTTTTGGACATGACGGAACTGGTAGGATTAGTTTCGGTGATAAAGGAAGCCTTGATCAGGAAGTCACACCCTTTAATTTAGATTCATCTCAGTAAGTTGCAAATTCTTTCTTTCTCACAGTTTGCGCTAAGACAACCACTCTACTCTTTGTGGGTTATACGTCAGGTCTGCCTACATCTTACCAAAACATATCCCACCTTTAGGTGGTGGGATATACAGGGTTTGTTTGGTTTGTTTTACAGTTCGATTCTGAACTTCTTTCATTTCCCTATTATTCAATGTTTAAATTTGGTTTTCTTGTGCAGTCCGACCTATAATATTACAGTGACGCAGCTTCGTGTTGGTTCCTCTCTCATTGACTCGTGTTTCACGGCTCTTTTTGATTCGGGTACCTCCTTTACCTATCTGGTCGACCCCCATTATACGAGGCTGACACAGAGGGTAAGCAAATCTAGAAACATAAAGAATTTATGGGATTTCCATTTATACACTTTTTTAAACTTGCCTCTTCGTTCTTCCACAGTTCCATGCACAAACGAAAGATTCACGACACCCAACTGATCAGAGGATTCCTTTTGAATATTGTTATGATATGAGGTATACTTTAATTTTCCATGTCTTTTGGTACTGAATTTTATTTGATGTCTGTTTATGATCTGTGTAGTCCTAATGCAAATACTAGTCTGATCCCGAGTATGAGCTTAACAATGAAAGGGGAAGGTCAATTTTTCATCTACGATCCGGTTATTGTTATCTCCACAAATGTAAGTCACGTGATAAATTTCTGAAACATATATTGACGTATTTCCTGCTCATAATCATCCCCCTACTTATGATGCAGCGGGAAGTTGTGTATTGTCTTGCTGTTATCAGAAGTGCAGAATTGAACATCATCGGCCGTAAGTCCTCAATTACAATACAATATGTACATACATGCATGGATATTTACATATATACATAGATAAATACATATGAACATTCATAGATACATAAAGTAAATGAACCCAATATTTCCCACTAAAAGGTGAGGTGTGGGGGTCAGATGTATGCAAACCTAACTTCTGCCTTCAAAGAGTAAAGCGTCTTTTCAAATCTTTTGTGTATATATATATGCAAACCTATTTGGTTGATCCTTATACAGAGAACTTCATGACTGGCTACCGTATCGTATTTGATAGAGAAGAACTTGTTCTTGGCTGGAAAAAGTCCGATTGTAAGTTAGAGTTACAGATATACATTTTGGCAAATAAATAAAGGATATCAATATCTGACGGTTGTTTTTCAATGAAGGTTATGACATTGAGATTTCAAGTGATTCGCGTACGACACCTTTGAACCCCAACAACGTTCCTCCTGCTGTTGCGGCTGGGCTACAAGGTCGGACCCAAACCACGGCTCGGACCTCTGTTGGTTCACCGTTTTACAGTAAGCGTTCTTGTTATTCAACTCAAACGTGTCTTTGCTTTTTGTTCCTATTCTTTCTTTGGTTATAGCTCGGTCTTTGGTTCTTGAAAAAAACCCTGATGGGAGTTATACGATTTTTGTTGATGGCCTGAACTCAATTCTCAATAGCAAATAGTGTAAATAGCACATTAGAAGTGATCATTTTGGTAAATATATTTCATGTTTCGGGTTTTCGGTCAGCCTTTGGTGGATTCAGATAGTTGTTACGAGTCAAACAGCAAGTGCGGATTTTAAGAACGTTTCTGAACATTTTATTTGACATGAAGTAATGAAACCGGTTAAATTAGAGCATAAAGATAATGTTTGTTGTAACCTGTCATATGGTGTCTGATTAGTTTATGGATTTAAACTATGAGCTAATATAATATAATGAAATCAAAATATAACTTCAAATACAAGTAAAACACAACTATAGTCTCCTTTTAAGTAAAAATATGAATATATGATTAAAATAATATGAAAATAAACACAAATACAATTGTGTACTTGTGAATTATATACAAAAAATATAACCAAATCAATCAAACCTATTATAAGCAACTCTCATTGGAAAGTAGGGTTCGGGATGATGTAATGTATGTAGACATGATATTTATATTTGAATATTTTACAACTAGATTAGACATTTGATTGCTTTGGGTTGGATTGTTTTCTTTTGGTTTTGGTTGGATTGGTCGGGTTTTGAATCCCTAGTGCCTAGTCGTCAAAAACTAAAAAGTTGCCATAGCCGGTTAGGGGTGGTCCAAAATCTTACCAACTCGATCAACCCAACCCAACGCAAAGTAACTTAATCAGAAGCAATTTGATGTCTGATCGAGTTGTAAAATCTTCAAACTATAGGTATTGAGTTAATATTGAATTACTTTTATTTAAATACAATCCAATGAACCTGATATTTTTTTTATTTCTTGAATTTAATATGATTGTAGAATCTCTATTAATATCTGGATTAAACAATTACACCATCACGTACTATCTTTATATACATATATTTTCAAATTATTTTTCATCTCTATATAACTCATTTGTATATATATTAAGAGAAATGTTCATTTGATAAGTGGTAAATATTTGAGAAGTAAAAATAATCCTAGCCCTTCATCTCGTCTGTTCAATATTTGTGGTTTTGATTGTAAAACCTTGGATAGTACTATCCTTTCTTGTATAGTATGTAGAAGATAGAGAGAATGTTTCGTAACTTTTACAAATAAACAACAAACGGATTCATATGTGAATGTATATAATACATATATGAACTATATGTTCATAATCGAACCCGTTAATTAGTTCATATGTTAACTGATTCATATATAAACCCGTTTACTTATTATTTGTAAAACTTTTAAAACTACTATTCTATCTTTTATATACCCATGATAGAAATTATTCGGTACTTGACGGGTTAAAACCGTAAATATTAACTAGATAAAGGGGTAATATCACATTATTCAATCCAGCCCTTGTGATCCATTTTGTGGGGTTTATTGTGAAAATGATTTGATGATAACATCGTTTATTAAATATGAGATTATAGTGATGAGATATATCAAAAGATTTGGGAGACCATCCCTCATTCATGTGTCAGATGTTCTCCTCTCCACCTACCAACCTAACACACACTCACTCATCACAACAAAATACCTAGGTCGCAATCACACACACACACACAGACAGAGACTGAGGTTATATATACATTACATATATACACATACACACCGAGGTTATAGGGAAACCCTAAAAAATGAAAGACGAAAAAAAGCCTGGAAGCGGTATGTCTAGTTTTGAAAAGAAGGGGCGAACACCATCAGGTTGTGAGGTGTTTGAGAAAACCCTAGAAATCAAGAACCAGATAACCCTAGAAATCAAGAACCAGATAACCCTAGAAACGAAGAATGAGAAAACCCTAGAAATCAAGAACGAGATAACCCTAGAAACGAAGAATGAGAAAAACCTAGAAATGGAGAAGGAGAAAACCCTAGAAATGGAGAAAGAGAAAACCGTGAGAGTTATAAGGGGTGAAAGTAGAATAGTAGGGCAAAAATGCCCGTCGCCTCTCTCCTGTCGCCGTCGATCGAAGACGAGGGAGAGGTAGAGAGAGAAAAAAAGAAAGAGGGAGAGAGACGATATGATATGATATGATTAGAGGGGGGGGAGGCATGGGGTATTTATAGTGCATCTCCATCAGAATCTTTTGATTATATTATCAAGAAAAAGATTACATTAACAAACTTCATTATTAATTGTACCATCAAAAATATTTATTTTTACATTTTAATATAAAAAAATAAAATTAAATTCAACTTCATATGTCGGCAGCAATAATAAATAATAATAATTTCTATTATTTTTCCATTAAGTTTTAGAAAATATTTCAACTTTATCTTTTTTTTAAATGAACTTTTAGAGGATGGATTAAAAAAAATATCGAAAATATCTTTTTTTTAATAGAAAATTTGTTGGAGATTTTAGCATTAATAATATTAGAATATCGAGTGATAAAAACTCTTAAGAAACTCATTTATCATATTCTTTTTGTCACTTCAATAAAATAAAATTCCACAATGGATAAAGTAAGTTTATTTATCTATTATTATATAAATTTATATCTATACTATATTATAAAATATTTGACAAAAACTTTTAAAAATCATTTTTTTACATGACATACTGATTATTGATGCATATTATTTAAAATTCAATATTACAAATAAATTGTATGTAGTATAACTTATTAAGCTCTATGATTGAATTCGTGTAACTAACTATAGATAAATATAATCACATACATGATAAAATTCTTATTTTAAATACAAAATCTAAAATATAATTAAGATAATTATTGAGTTCTAATATAATCCTTAGGTATTATATTCATAAAAAATTATGTTATTAAACCAAAAATAAATTATTTCATCATTAAACCTAAATTAAATTATAACAAGAAAATTGAATTAAAGAAATTACACAAAAGAATGAGAACTTTTATATATATTTTTAATCTTTATGATATCTTCAAATTTATATTTTATTTAGAATAACATTATTGTTTACTCAAAACCACATAAATTCGTATTATAACATCTACATAGACCAAAAAAATAAAATAAAACACTGAAATCGAGATACATCTCGCTGCATTGCGCGGAAACCCTTATAGTTGTATTATAAAATATTTGACAAAAACTCTTAAAAATCATTTTTTTTATAAATGAGGTACTATTTATTTATGCATACTAGAAGGGTACTCGCGCAATGCAGCGAGATACATCTCGATTTTAATGTTCTATTTTATTTTTTTGTCTCTGTCGATGTTATAATACGATTTTATGTGTTTTTAAAAAATAATAATGATTTTATTTTTGAATAAAATATAAATTTGAAAATATCATAAAAATTTGAAAAAAAAATATATCAATGTTAATATCACATCAACTATTTAAAAGTTCTCATTTTTTATGTAATTTCTTTGATTTTTTTATTATAATTTGATTTAAGTTTAATAATGAAATAATTTATTTTTGGTTTAATAATATAACATTTTATATAAAGATAATAGTTAAGTATTCTGTTAAAACTTAATGATTGTCCTAATTATATTTTAGATTTTTCATATTTTAAAATAAGATGTTTATCCTCTATTTGATTATGTTTATGCGCAATTAGTTATACGAATAAAAAAATCGAGCTTTAACAAGTTGTACTTTTGCATAATTTACTTGTAATCTTCAATTTTAAGTAAACATTGGTTTTATGTGGTTTTGAGAAAGTGATAATGTTTTTATTTTTGAATAAAATATAAATTTAAAAATATCATAAAATTTTTAAAAAAATATCGATATTAGTATTAAATTAATCTTTTTAAAAGTTCTTGTGTTTTGGTGTAATTTTCTTAATTAATTTTTTATTATAATTTAATTTAGGTTTATTAACAAAGAAATTTAATTTAGATTTAATAATTAATTTTTTATAAAAATAATAACTAAGTATTATGTTAGTTATCAATGATTATCCTAATTATATTTTAGATTTTTTATATTTAAAATGAGATATTTATCATGTATTTGATTGTGTTTATCTGCAGTTAGTTAGACGAATTCAAATATGGAGCTTTAATAAGTTGTACTTATGCACAATTTTCTTGTAATCTTAAATTTTAAGTAATATGCATCAATAAACAGTACTTCGTGTATAAAAAATCGTTTTTAAGAGTTTTTATCAAATGTTTTATAATATAGTATAGATATGATTTAATTTAAGTTTAATAATAAGACAATTTATTTTTGGTTTAATATTATAAATTTTATAAAAAAATAATTAAGTATTATGTTAGAATTTAATGATTATACTAATTATATTTTAGATTTTTTATATTTAAAATGAGATATTTATCATGTATTTGATTGTGTTTATCTGCAGTTAGTTACACGAATTCAGATATGGGATGAAATTGGATAGAGATGAAATCGTTTAGGGATGAACGAGTTTAAGAGTTTTTAAGAGTTTTAAAAGTTTATAAGAGTTTTAGCCAAATGTTTTATAATATAGTATAGATTACTTAAAATTCAAGATTACAAGCAAATCATAAATATAACTTATTAAAGTTTCATGTTTGAATTCGTGTAACTAACTACAGATAAACATAATCAAATAAATGATAAACATCTCATTTTAAATATAAAAAATCTAAAATATAATTAGGATAATTATTGACTTCTAACCAAATACTTGATTATCATTTTTATAAAAAAATTATTAATTAAAGTAATACACAGAAAACGAGAAATTTTAAATAGTTAGTTTGATACAAATATCAATTTTTTTCAATTTTTTATGATATCTTCATATTTATATTTTATTCAAAAATAAAAGTATTATCGTTTTCTCAAAACCAAATAAAATCGCATTATATTTTAAATTACACATTATACCTTATAATTAGTTATTTATTTTACTTTATATCTCTTACTTTTTCACTTTATATCTTATCATATTAAAATAAATAATTTTATATGAAATAAATACATTAAAAAATGGAAAATTAACATAAATAACCATTTCAGCCGGGTAATTTACCTCTTAGTCATTTCTCTCCTAAAATGTCACTACCTCTGCAAGTAGCAACTTCTCAACTTGCGAAGGGGTCAAAACGTAAAAAAAAAAAAAAAAATCTGAACATGGTCCGCAAATACATGGTCAAAACTTGTAAACTTGTCCGACTGTTGCTGAGCAGTTTTTGGATATCAAACGGACCTCCCTAGAAAGTAATTTTAATGTGGTCAATTTCT